CTATCTTCATTAAAGATGGAAACATGGGGTAAAGTTGTAATCGCCATTGTTATAGCTGTCATTGTGAGATGGGGATGGAAATTACTCAACTGGGTATGGTTGAACCCAAAGAAGCTAGAGAAGTGGCTGAGAGATGAAGGGTATAAAGGGAATTCSTATAAYCTGCTAAYRGGTGACMTKAAASAGWTTGCAACAATGGTGAATGAAGCTAGATCAAAACCACTTCCAATCACCCATGATATAACTTCATATATTCTTCCCTTTGATCATCATATCATCACCAAATATGGTAATTCTATAATCTCAATTGCTATTCCTTRATTATAATCTGATTGGTRATCAGACACTGCAACAAAATCAGGTCCAAAATCTCTATATGTACTGACTGTAAGATTGGTGGTTGACAGGTAAAAAATCATTTTTCTGGTTGGGGCCAAACCCAAGGATGTACATCTGGGATCTAGACCTCATCAARGAGATATTATCAAAACCCGATGAGTTTCAGAAGCCTCATCCTGAGCCATTTCGAGATAGCATCATCGGCGGAGTTCTGGTTTCCGAGGGTCACAAATGGATCAAACATCGCAAAATAATTAATCCCGCTTTTCATCTTCAAAATCTCAAGGTTAGAATATGTTGAAAGCTGGGTTTTGTGGTTACAATCACTTGGATAGTTCTTGGATCGTATATGTATTGCACTTTCCAAATACATATACTTGGTCTTCAAAACACTAAGTTTCTGAGTCAAAACCCTTCTTGGATCGTATATGCTCAGAAGCTCTGAGTCAGAACCGTTCTTAACCAGAAGCTTCTGAGTCAAAACCCTTGTTAACCGAAAGCTTTTGAATCAGAAATCCATACTTGGTCTCCAAAACACCAAGTTTCTAACCCTCTGAATCCTTCTGAATTTCATTCAGAATGTCCAGAAACTTAGAATTCCCAAGTACTCCCTTTGACCTATGCTGTATGACGATCTAAGGTGATATGAGCAACATTTGTGAGTGTGCACTCTGTATCTCCTAAGTCCTAACTCACATTGTGTTTTCCTTGTCGCCTAGTCTGATCCCAAGTAAATCACAGTTACACCAGATGATTGATGAATCACCAACAAGCTCGTGTCTCTTAATTCCGTCATTTTCATGTTCAAAATCTAAGGCAATTTATGGATTCTTATGTGCGTAGATCATGTTCCCTGCTATCTGCTCGAGTTGTAATGATATGGTCCACAAATGGGAGACTCTAATTGCCGCAAAGGGTCCCACCGAGGTGGATGTATGGCCGTATATCGATAATTTAGCCGGTGAYGTGATTTCACGAACGGCATTTGGCAGCTGCTACGAAGAAGGAAAGAARATATTCAGAATCCAGAAGGAACAAATGGATCTTGTATTCCAAATGCTGTTTATACTTTTTCTTCCTGGCAGGAGGTAACAACAACGGTGATCTACTGATCTTTTAACATTAGTCGGATGTACAGATTTCGTTAATTTCTTTAGAAAAATGTAGGTTTATACCCACCACCACAAACAAAAAGTTTAACGAAAACCGCAAAGCGCTTCGATCGATGCTGAAGGGTATCATCRACAAGAGGAAGAAAGMAATCGAGATGGGATCAGAAGGTGGCTGTGAAGACTTACTCGGAATTTTACTCGAATCAAATTCGAAAGAGATCGAAGAAGATGGAGTTGGAATGRGTATGGAYGATGTGATCGAAGAATGCAAGCTATTTTACATCGCTGGATCCGAAACAACCTCCAATTTGATSGTTTGGACTATGGTCTGTTTGAGTTTGCATCAAGAATGGCAARTCCAAGCTCGACAAGAAATCTTGGAATWTTTCGGTACCRGAAAACTTGATTTTGAAGGTMTGAAACACCTCAAGATTTTAACAATGATACTAAATGAGGTTCTCAGATTATACCCACCGGYAGTCATKGYTGTACGGGCTACAACCAAGGATACGAAGCTGGGAAACATGACGATACCATCGGGTGTGCACTTAACTTTACCTATTATGCWTATACATCAYGATCGTGAAATATGGGGTGAAGATGCAGCCGAGTTCAAACCCGAAAGGTTCTCAGAAGGAGTTTCGAATGCAACAAAGGGCAAAGGGTCAGGTTGTTTTTTTCCGTTCACTAGCGGTCCTCGTGTTTGCATTGGACAAAACTTTGCGATGACGGAAGCAAAAGCAGCAATAGCAACAATTCTACAACGGTTCTCGTGTGAGCTTTCTGCATCCTACAAACATTCTCCTTTCCCTGTGTTCACTCTTCCACCCCAGTTTGGTGCTCACTTGATTCTAAGTAGAATCTCATAATTTGCATTTCATAGCAATTTCTTCAAATACATGGTGTATCCAAAGGTGAAAAGCTGTTTTATTATTTAATAACTTAGTTGTCTATCCGTGCAATCGGCTAAAACTCTAGATCCTTGTGTTCCCTCTTACTACGTAAGATTCTTGGTCTTTGTTATATTCACTCGGTAAGGTAATTGAAATAGTAAATGCTTACCAAGGTAAGTATTTTGTAAACAACCTAAGCTAGATGCTAAACATGAAAGGCCACTGCTTTTGTCATGATGATGAGAGGTAACAATATGTCAATTTCAAACTATTGGCAAAAACACATACATGTCAACGATGGGTCGATAGAAATGGTAGGTGGTACACAATATTCATAGATAAGACAAAAGTAATAACTAATCAATAAAAAGATGCATCTTGAGGAACCCAATTTGGAAAAAACGATCGAGGCACAAGGATGATCTCCATATATCTTTTTTGATTCTTAAAAGACCCTAAAAGTTGAAGCGGAAAAAGATGAAATGTTTAATCTTCATCGATTGATGTATTCTTATAATCTACTAAGCATTAGGCAAAGAAACTTGGAGTAATATTTATTAGTTACTGTTAATAAATACAGAATAGAGATCATACTGTGAAAGTTCTAAATCACGTTGTTTGATGTCGTATGTATGAATTATGCAATATTTTGTACACGTCTAATTGTAACAATTGATAAATTGATCGAATATGAGACAAGGATCTCAATTCATAGTCTCATTGATATGTACGAAGGATAAAAGAAAGCTTACAAAATAAAGGATACATTACAAATACAAGATGTTAAAACCAGTTATGAGATAATAACATTAAATCTAAGATGCATAATTATGTGATTTCCACTCAATCATGTTTGTTACTAGGAAAAAGTCTAAAAAAAATTAATGGACTTTAATATTTGGAATGACAATTTTTTGGAACAAATAAGTTCTTGGACGACCCAAAACCTGTTAAACAACTCTTTAGATTTTTTAAAAACTATTTGATACATTCTTATGACCTATAAAACTGGTTAATGTGATAAAATAATTGAAAAAAACCTGGAAAAAAAAAATCAATGGATTTTCATATTTAGAACAATTACGTCCCTAAATATTTTTGAACCAAAAAAAAATTATATCTATAAAATGAAATAAATATATCAAAAAAGTATTTATATTTATAAAAAAAATAATTACATTTAGAAAAGATTATTGATGAAATTTGTTTTAATTATGAATAATTTACAACCTTTTAAAAATTAGAAGAAAAAGACAAATTTAATATGAAAAAATAAAGTTTCAAGTGAATAATTAATGTTTAGATTAAATAAAAAACAAGAATAATGTAAGAAAATAAATTTATAATCGACATCTCTATAAAAGGTCAACGGTAATGAATGGAGTTCTAATTGACTACCAGACGATATATAATTTTAAAACTCAATCCCTATAAAAACTTATCAAATGGAGTAATCACCATTGCTGGTGATCATACTCTATCTTCATTAAAGATGGAAACATGGGGTAAAGTTGTAATCGCCATTGTTATAGCTGTCATTGTGAGATGGGGATGGAAATTACTCAACTGGGTNATATATTTCATATATGATTTTTTAAATTAAAAAAAGAAAAAAAGAATTACTGATAAAATTTATTTTAATTAAAAAACAAAATATATTTCGTTGGTGATTTTTCAAATTAAAAAAATAAAAAATAATTTGATTAAATTACTGACGGATTAACGATAAAAATTTAACTAAATACATAACTAATTAAAATTCGTCGCTAGTGTTCATTGATATATATGTAAGTATCTTTTTACTTCAAAAAATGTATAGAGACTTGATCGTTTAAAATATGAAAATCCATTGGGTTTTTTTTCAGAATTTTTTATTATTTTACCACATTAACTAGTTGTATAGATCATAATGATGTATCTAACAGGTTTTAAAAAGTTCAAGAAGTTATTTAGTAGGTTTTAAAATATCAAGGGCTTATTTGTTCCAAGGTTTTATCCAAAAACTTAACTATTTCAAACACTAAAGTTCATTATATTTTTTTTTTAGATTTTTTTCTTATTTATACTATATTATACATCATTTGACAAAAACTCTTAAAAGCCATTCTTTATGCATGAAGTACTGTTTATTGATAAATTTTACTTAAAATTCAAGATTACAAGTAAATTGTGCATAAGTACAATTTATTAAAGTTTTATGTTTGAATTTGTGTAACCAACTGCAGATAAACATAATCAAATAGATGATACACATCTCATTTTAAAATATAAAAAATCTAAAATATAATTTGGATAATTATTGAGTTCTAACAGAATATTCAATTATTTTCTTTATAAAAAAATATATTATTAAACCTAAATTAAGTTACTTTGTTACGTTAAATTAAGTTATAATAAAAATTTTGAATTAAAAAAAATACACAAACAAGAACTTTTAAATAGTTAATTTGATGCTAATATTGATATATTTTTTGTAAATTTTATATGATATTTTCAAATTTATATTTTTTCAAAAATAAAACATTATTATTTTTTCAAAACCACATTAAATAGTATTATATCGACATGGATAGAAAGTAAAACAAAATATTAAAATAAAAATGTATTTAGATGCATTACACGAATACCCTTCTGATCAATATTAAAATAACTAGTTTGCTGAACGATGTGTCTCAATAAATATCAACTGTTATATTTAAAACTAAAAATAAATCTGAAATGATGACATTACATCAATAATTATAATATTTAAAAATTAAAATTCCACTCGTAAATAATAAAAACACATATTTTCAATTGAATAGAAAAAATAACATTATTAAAAAAATTCAACCATATTTCGTTTATACCATCAAAAAGATCTATTTTCAACAAATCTTTATCAATTTCAAACATTAAAATCATCGATTACAAAAATTCAAAATATTCAAACCCTCTAAAAATAAAATTAGGTCAATGACCAAATATTGCTAAAAAAAACAATGTAAAACTATTATTAAAGACAAAAAAAACAAGAATAATGATCGAAAATCTTCTGAAAGAATTACAACACGATTAAATTAATTAACTATAAAGCATAGTTATTGATATTTAAGTTTTGTATCACCCATTTTTTGTTTATGTATGTGAATGTTTGTAAGTTTTATTCGTTGCAATAAAAAACCCTTACATATAATATGTATTGCTTCCAAATCAAAATGTCGTTCAAAATTTAAACAGAACTTATGTACAACTTGAAGCTGCTACAAACCGAAAAAAGTTGGTGTCAAACTACAATTTGTTAGTAACGGATAAAGACTCAATCCCGATAAAAAAATTAATGAAATGGATCCATCAATCACAGACATAGATAAAGATTAAAACAAGGAAGATGGTTGTGATCACCATTGTTATAAAGGTCAGCGGCTGGTGATCATACTCTTATCTTCATTAAAGATGGAAGCATGGGGTAAAGTTGTAATCGCCATTGTTATAGCTGTGATAGTGAGATGGGGATGGAAATTAGTCAACTGGGTATGGTTGAAGCCAAAGAAGCTAGAGAAGTGGCTGAGAGATGAAGGGTATAAAGGGAATTCATATAACCTGCTAACAGGTGACATTAACGAGTTTGCAACCATGGTGAATGAAGCTAGATCAAAGCACCTTCCAATCACCCATGATATAACTTCATACATTCTTCCCTTTGATCATCATATCATCACTAAATATGGTAATTTCTTAATCTCAATTGCTGTTTCAGATAAAAACCGGATGTCAAAAATGTCTAAATGTCTTGTGGATTGGTGGTTGACAGGTAAAAAATCGTTTTTATGGGTGGGGCCGAACCCAAGGATATATATCTGGGATCCGGACCTCATAAAGGAGATATTATCGAAACCCAACGATTTTCCAAAGCCACATCCCAAGCCATTTCGAGATAGCTTCATTGGCGGACTTCTGGTTTCCGAGGGTCACAAATGGATCAAACATCGCAAAATAATCAATCCAGCTTTTCATCTTCAAAATCTCAAGGTTAGAATAGCTAGTGTCTTTTAATCCCATCATTTTCATGTTCAAAATCTAAACCAACATATGGATTCATTATTCATATGTGCATAGATCATGTTCCCGGCTATCTGCTCGAGTTGTAGTGATATGGTGCAAAAATGGGAGCTGCTAACTGCCGCAACGGGTTCCACTGAAGTGGACGTATGGCCGTATGTCGATAATTTAGCCGGTGATGTGATTTCACGAACGGCATTTGGTAGCTGCTACGAAAAAGGAAAGAAGATATTTGGAATCCAGAAGGAACAAATCGATCTCGTTTTCCAAATGCTGTTTTTACTGTTCGTTCCAGGAAGAAGGTAAAAACTCACTGTAAAAAGACCGGGTTTACAGGACGTCATATTATGTCTATGTGTTCAACGGATGTGTTGCGAATTCGTTTGGAAAAAATTGTAGGTTTATACCTACGAGCGCAAACAAAAAGTTTAACAAAAACCACAAGGAGATGCAATCGGTGCTAAAGGATATCATTGACAAGCGAAAGAAAGAAATCAAGATGGGACCGGAAGGTGGTTGTGATGACTTACTTGGAATTTTACTCGAATCAAATTCGAAAGAGATCGAAGAAGATGGAGCCGGGATGAGTATGGATGACGTGATCGAAGAATGCAAGCTATTTTACATCGCTGGATCTGAAACAACCTCCAATTTGATCGTTTGGACTATGGTCTGTTTGAGCTTGCATCAAGAATGGCAAACCCAAGCTCGACAAGAAATCCTGCAAGTTTTTGGTACCGGAAAACTTGATTTTGAAGGTCTGAAACACCTCAAGATTTTAACAATGATACTAAACGAGGTTCTTAGATTATACCCACCGGTGGTCATGGTTATACGGGCAACAACCAAAGAGACAAGGCTGGGAAACATGATGATACCATCGGGTGTCTACATAACTTTACCAATTATTCATATACATCATGATCATGAAATATGGGGTGGAGATGCAGCCGAGTTCAACCCCAAAAGGTTCTCAGAAGGAGTTTCGAATGCAACAAAGGGCAAAGGATCGGCTTTTTTCCCATTCACTAGCGGTCCTCGTGTTTGCATTGGACAAAACTTTGCAATGGCAGAAGCAAAAGCAGCAATAGCAACAATTCTGCAACGGTTCTCGTGTGAGCTCTCTCCGTCGTATAAACATTCGCCTTTCCCTGTGTTCACTCTTCCACCCCAGTTTGGTGCTCACTTGATTCTAAGTAGAATCTCATAATTTGCATTTCATAGCAACTTCTTCGAATACATGGTATATCCAAAGGTTAAAAACTGTTTTATTATTTAATAACCTAGTTGTGTATCTGCGCAATGCAGTGGCATGTAAACTTATACCGTAAACATGTTCCTGATTAAAAATGAAAATCCGACACTATATTTTTACATAAAATTGCAGACACAATGACATGTAGTATGAATGAGCAATGGTCGACCGCAGTTAATAGAACATCATGGAGAGCATGAACAAGTGAGATGCCATGAATCAGTGTACTTAAAACAAATTCTAACAAGATATAAACGAAATCCTAATCGAAGAAGGTCAAGAACGCTTACCCATTGTAAAGATAAAAATTTGATGTCATTTGGCTCATTTAATTTACATTGTTCAAGTTTTTGTAGCATGATAATGATAATGTGCTCCATGTTCAGCATTACTTGCTTAATTAATCCCTACTTTGGCTTAATTAATCCATATGACATCATAGACCAAAAATCACAAAAGTAACTCTTTTTGACATTATAACAAACAGTTCATGGGCACCAATGCTAGCGACCAAAAATTCAAGAAAAGCTTTATATAAAAACCAAAACCAGCTAACACAAAGCCATATCAGCGGAGGTTTCAAACCTGGTGCAATGGTATTGAGCACAGTTGTTCAAGTCGCCACTGATAAGGACCGGTTTGCCTGCTGACGCAAAAGCTGTAGGAAATGTAAGCGTGTGTAATCTGCATTTCGGAAAGACAAACTCAAATCAAACCCCATCATCAAGATCTCGAGCAGAAATGCAAAAGATTTGATAAGAAACCATTCAGTCAAATAAATATTTTTTTGTGGGATTTTATGATATGATAGAGTAAACATGAAAGCAGAGTGTGGTTTCGATTTAAATTGTATAATGCGAATTCTTGAATCTTGATCATATGATTGAGATGAACAAAGACTTGCATGAAATTTGAGTTTTTCCCAGGCATGGTTTCGCTCACATTCTTCAAAAGCGTCGTTTGAACCAGTGCATCCGTTTCTTTCGCAGTAAACGAGATTGGGTCCAAAATCCATTGGAATAAGAAATTGGGCTTCATTTTGTTGGGAAAAGTTTAAAACCCAATGTCGTTTCCTCATTAAGTTGTTAACTACATTTTTAAATGGAAAAAATTATTCTCGTAACTATACTATATTATAAAGAATTTAACAAAAACTCTTAAAAATATTTTTTTATTTATAAAGTACTATTTATCAATGCATATTACTTAAAATTCAAGATTACAAATAAATTATACATAAGTACAACTTATTAAAGCTCTACGTTTGAATTCGTGTAACTAACTGCGGATAAACATAATCAAATAGAGGATAAACATCTCATTTTAAAATATAAAAAATATAAAATATAATTAGGATAATTATTGAGTTCTAACAAAATACTTAATTATTATCTTTATAAAAAGATATTATTAAACCGAAATTAAGTTAATTCGTTACGTTAAATTAAATTATAATAAAAATTTTGAATTAAAAAAAATAAACAAACAAGAACTTTTAATTAGATAATTTGATACTAATATTGATATATTTTTTGTAAATTTTATATGATATTTTCAAATTTATATTTTATTCAAAAATAAAAACATTATCGCTTTCTCAAAAACCACATAAAATTGTATTATATCGACATGGATAAAAAATAAAACGAAACATTGAAATGGAAAAGGTCGTTGAGTTTTCTAAACTTTTCCTATTTTGTTTCAAGGCAAACTTTAAACTAATAACCAAATGTTTATCGTGTAAACATTTATTGACCTATGTTATTGAGAGAACATGACGAGGACCGAGAATCTTACCGGTAAGTGAACGAGAGAAGACTCTTGTCCATTATGCTTACCAACAATCCATTTTTATGGCTAGAAAAAAATCATCCGATAAAATAAATGATGATGATCACAATAAATGACCCCTTAAAAAGTAGCACGTTATTTTATTTTATGTTAATAATTGGTTCGTTGTTACAAATTATAGTCTTTTCTTTATAAAAAAAATGATATTCTGATTATAACAACAAATACATATGGTAATTTTAATTGTTAATGGTTGGATTGACACACAAATAATCAAGATTATTAGAAGTTTGTAAATATCAAAACATGTGCTTGTTACGATGGGTAGATGATCATATTAGGCAACATTATACAACCTAAATTAACTGTATAAACCTGTTTGTTTTTTCAGCTTATTTGCTAAGTTTTTAAGCAGTGTTTGTTTTGGCTTAATTTTTAAGCAGTAGTTGGAATAGCTGAATTGGATAAATCATCATATATTTATTATTCACATTATACAATTTTATCAGTACATGTCATAATAGAAGGAAAAAAAACCACTAAATTAGATGTCAGACATACAACAGCCAATGCTTTGTCATGATGATGAGAAGTAACAATATGCCCATTTCAACAGTCGGCAAAAACACGTATATGTCAATGGTAGGTCAATACAAATGGTAGGTGGTACAATATTCATAGATAAGCCAAAAGTAATAACTAATCAATAAAAAAATAAATCCTGAGGACCCCAATTTGGATAAATTATTGAGGCATCGGATTAAGCTTTTCATGCCTTTTTGTTTCAAAACAAAAAACCCTAAAAGTTGAACCTGAAAAAAATGAAACATTTAATCTTCATCTACTGATGTGTTCTTATATTTTACTAAGCAATACGAAGATACGATTTTTAATTCGCGATGATTAGATTATGAATGTGAATATGCTAATCAGATGTGAGAGTTCGTATACAGGCCTACTAAGCTAATCAGATGTGAGAGTTCGTATACAGGCCTACTAAGCAAATTAGATGTGAGAGTTCGTATACAGGCCTACTGAGCATATCACATGATTTCGGTTTCTAGGTACCAAAAGTGATTATGTTGGACTTGTCAAAGTCAAAAAATGAGACTTTTTTGAGAGAAATATGGCATAAGTTAGGATCATTGAAAAGGGAATACATGAAAAAGGAAAGACAAAGCATAAGTGAAGGTGGATTGCAACCTTAGGTATATCTTGTATTTGTTCCCATGGCCCATGTACCCTTAATTTGCATTTTTTATCCAATTTTATATTAGTTTTATTCATTTAACTGTTCTAAATGTTAGAATTTTGTCAGAAATAAATATAAAGTCTATAAACGTATTAAATCAGAGAAGAATATTATAGAAGTCGTTCCAAATATATGTACCAAATTCTTTCTGCCATATAAGGATAAAATTTTCATAGTGCAATTCTATCTACCGTTAGACCAAATATGATTATCCCGAATAGTATGTGATCAAGGCCGTTGATCCAAGAAATGATGTTCTAATGTCGATAGATTTCAAACAATGTAAAAGGATTGTCTGCTAATGTATTTGGCTTTTCAGTAATGCCGAAAACAGCATAAATAAACAAACATGAGTTTCAAGATTGGTGCTTGTGGGATCCAAATCCGCTAGCAACAAACGGGAACAAACTTGAAGATAACTTCTACACCATTAATTATTGTTAATCAATCAGTTAAATTTTTTTAAAAGGCGTTATTTTTATAATAATAATTAAATGAAGATGTGGGGCACGCATAAAGCCCTTTTAGATACAACCGTTGGCTTAAATTATGCTCAATCACAAGAGTTTAATAGTGTCGGCAAGCTTGACGTTTGTTTAATTAATTAATTAATTTGAAAAAGACTTCATCGATAAATATTAAAAATAATTAGAAGGGTACTCGTGCAATACAGTGAGATGCATTTCAATTTTAATGTTTCATTTTATTATGTCTCCGTCGATATTATAATACGAATTTATATGGTACTGAAAAAACAATATTGTTTTATTTTTTTGAATAAAATATAAATTTGAAAGTATTATAAAATTTTGGAAAAAAAATGTATCGATTTTAGTATAAAATTAAATATTTAAAAGTTCTTGTTTTTTGTGTGTAATTTCTTTAATTCTATTTTTTATTATAATTTAATTTAGATTTAATAATGAAGTCATTTATTTTTGGTTTAATAATATAAGTTTTATATAGAGATAATATTTAGTATTTTGTTAAAATCCAATAATTATTCTAAATATATTTTAGATTTTTTTATATTTAAAATGAGATACATATCAAGTATTTGATTATTTTTTCAACAGCTAGTTACACGAATTCAAACATGAGCTTTAATAAGTTGTACATACAAATAATTACTTGTAATCTTGAATTTTAAGTAATATGCATCAATAAACAGTACTTAATGCATAAAAATAGTTTTTAAGAGTTTTTGTCAAATACTTTATAATATATTATAGATTATAAGAGTGAATTACGCATTTAGTCCTTGTGATATGCAAAAAATTATGACTAACGTCCTTAAACTCTGTTCATTATGATTTGGTCCATGTGGTTGTCATTTTTTCATGCCTATGGTCCCTGTCACTAATAGAATTCATTAGTCCATTAACATATTTCATATTATTTTCGTTTTTGAATCTGTGTTCTATACTTTTTAAAAATGATAAAAAGAAAGGTATTTTGGTCTTTTTATTCTTGGGTTAACGGACTAACAAATTATGTTAGTGACAGGGACCATAGGCATGGAAAAACGACAACCACAACGATCAAAATCATCACAAACCGAGTTTAGAGACGTTAATCATAATTCGTTACATACCATAGGGACCAAATCCGTAGTTCACTCTAATTATAAATAACAATTGACATTTGATTAAGTTAAATTCCTTTGCCACATAAAATCTTGAGTGTAATCTAATTCTAGAGTCGTTGCCCAATCAAATTAAAAACACATATGTATATATATAAGGAATCTTTATTTAACAAATGGTAAGTATTTAAGAAGTATAAAAGTGATCATAACTAGTCAAGATTTGCGGTTTTGACTTGTAAGTGAAAAATAGAGGAGTGATTTCGTAACTTTTATAAATAGGCAACAAACAAGTGCATATGTGAACTCATTGTTCATATGTGAATCAGTTAATTAGTTCATATGAGAATTACACAGGTTCACATATGAACATATAATTCATATGCGAATCACATTGGTTCACATATGGACATGTGTTGTCGTTTATTTGTAAAAGTTACGAAACTATCCATTTATCTTTCATGTACCATGCGAGCAATTATTCTGTGCTTTACAGTCAAAGCCGCAAATATTGATCGGATGAAAGATTATGATCACTTCTCTAATTCTCAAATATTTACCACTTCTCAAATGAACCTATGATTATATATATAATGGTTGAATTCCGGTGAGAATGGAAGTTATCGTGAGAAGTGTGAAAAATGATCTTCACTCTTGGATCAATCTAACTGATTCTCAACACTAATGGGGTGAACACAAATGCATCAAATCAATTCGTGTGATAAGCGCAATTCATGGGTGGGGGTGAGATTAAGGTGATCAAGGATCAGATCTTTTACGTTTCTCATGTTAGCTCATATTCTCACACGATCCCTTCGTCTATATATATAGGGTCTGTCAGGGAAAACGCTAATAAAATGGAACCACATGAAAAAACAGATGAAAAAAATATATCAATATGCATGTCAAATTATCAAGCAAAATATGATCATTTTTTGGTGTAATTTATTTCGCTCAAATTTTGTTTATTTTCTTTTTTTTGGGAATAAAAAAGGGGTTAACTTTTTTAATTTATAAAATAATGTTGTAACCTCCATCGTAATCATATACATTAGATAATCTAATCTGATGGCTAATAAACTATTTTCTAGTTTTTTTTTGTTTTTTTAGAGTTTTGCCCTAAACCTCCTTTTATATATATATATATATATAGGGGTTGCTTAAAATACTAACCAAGATTTTTGTGTTAACTTTGTTAACCAAACTCAACCAATCATATTCCATCTTTTCTTTAGGTTCACATATAACTCGTATATTAATAACAAGGGTAATTAAGTAATTTGTCATTTATGTAACTCCCAAATCATTAATTGGGAGTTACAAATATAAAAATCTCAATAATTGATAATTATGTAATATTGATAGTTTTTTATACGTGTTCATGTTTTGTAATTTCGATTTATTCTATCCATAATG